TTAAAAAACCATTTGCAGTAATTTTGAGCATGAAAAGTTTCTTTCATTCTCTGGAATTCATAATGTGGACCATATAATTTCTTTACATTGACTTTATGCACTTTAATGCAAATATGCAGAAGAAGGAGTTTCCAAACTGCAGAAAAACAACATTCCAAGATGTTTAAAAATATTCAAAATTCTACCCCAGGTTTGATGTTCACTGAAGGTAGTGAATGTTGACTTTTCCTAAAAGTTGTTTTTTTTTTTTACTCTAGATAAGCTATTTGGATCTGGAAGAAAGATTGCAGCCATTCTTTTCTTCCCCTCACACTCCTGCATTTTGCATTTTCAATTGTTGTTTGCATTGTTTGCAACGCAACCAGCCATTCTTTCCCTGGGCTTTGGCTGATGGCAAAACACCAAGTTAGATAAAGGGCTTCATATTCTCTCAGTTCTCTCTTTGCTTTAAATTTCACCACTGCATTTTAAAGCTGCGTGATACTACTTTCCTGGTGGCATTTACCACAGTTGAGGTAACGCAATACTAAAACAAACAAATACTGATTTACATAATACCATAATTAGGATTTGGTTATGTGCTAAATTAAATGCTTGCATGTCTGTATTTTAATTGGTGAACACCTTTGAAAATCAATCACATTTAGATTATTTTAATTGTAACTTGGGGGGTTGACATAATCACCCCTGCATTTCAGAAATGTACATTATGTCATAATGATATTAATTACTGATAGACAACCTCAAGGCCTAGGAGCAGCTGTCAGTAAACAAAATGAATGGGAAACCAGGGTAGGGAACAGATTGGGTCTCATCTTCATCTACAGCCTCAGAAGAGGTTGTTTTATTGCAGTGTCCACCATGACCACACATCACAAGCATTAATTAATTAATTAATTAAGTGATTACAATCAAAGAACAATTCCTGAAGCTAGGAGTTGGGTGGTATCATAGCCACTTCCCAAAATACAATTCTGTAGATCAGCCATAGGATGAGGGTAGCACCACTATTGACCAAGAAGGTACAGCAGATCCTATTTTCTCTTGATATGACGGCCTTCCAGATCAGGGAAATATCTTTGCTCTTTTACGATTGTTAAATGAAGCATCGGTCAGACAGCCTTGAATTATAGAGATTTGGTTCCCATATCCATATTCTGGAACCTGGCTCGCATCAGTGATGTTTAAGAACCTATGGCCATCTGCTCTTTAGCATTTATTGGTCTCCTGAGCTTTTCAATGCCAACAATGAATGCGGAGTTGCCTTTAACTCAGGGTTCCCATAGACCTGTCAAGCATTCTCCTGTTTTTCTGAATTGCTCCATCTTTCCTTGTCTACATTTCTGCTTTCTTTTTTACAAAGGACTATGGATTTTATCCCTTCAAAACATTTCTATGAACACTGTAACACAATTTCCTGGCAGGAAAAGTTGCTGTAGCAGAAGGAAGAAAAGATCAAGTGATTCCATTAACATTTCTAACAACTTCTTAGCTACTACAAATCTTTTAATTCCCCTGTCACTCATACAGTGTAACAATCCTGTTTTAAATGGTGATAAGTACAAATCTTTTACATTGCCTTAAACTACTGATATACTATGGATGTATTTATAAACAAAATAGGATTTTTTTTTCTGTTTGGCAAAAATAGATCTCAGATTTTACTTTCTGATTCCAAAGGGAGGTTTTTTGAAGTAAAATTACCAGTGCAAATTATCAATATTGGCTCTCGAGGGACAAATATAAGTAAGCTAAATGAATCTGAGAGTAAGACTTGTAAAATATTTGTATAGATTTAAATACATGCTTTCTATGAGATTTAAAGACTTTTCTTTTTTGTCTTTTTGCTTTTCTAGTATAAGAAGTAGTATATCTATCTATTTTTCAGGATATTCTGAGAAATATCCGTGTATTGGTATGAAATGTCAGGCTGCTAATATGTAAAGTCTAAGGATTATACTGTAGATCCCTGTGTTAAGAGAGGTGTTCTTGTTATACTATACATTGCTTACTGAGCACAATGTAAAGTTTCAGTGTGGTCCAGCTAGGTGGCAGCACTAATCAACCTTGATTGATGTAGAAAGCTAAACAAAGCTAAACCCTGCTGTAGGCTAAACTGGAACATTAATAAAAGTTCTGGAAGTTGGCAGTAATAGCAAATTACAGTATATCCATATTGTGCCCAGATCCCCCATGGATGTGTCTGTGCAATTCACCAACAAATAGATCTTGCTATACCAGCCTTTAAAGCCCTGAAGAATCTGGAGCCTGATAGTCCAAGGAATCTGATTCCCTTTGCAGAGCTTACCTGCTTAGCCATTAAGATCTGCAGGGGACATTCTTGAGATAACATCCTGTTACATGGTTTGTTTTTCTTTTAATATTTTATACTATTAAAAGTATAAAAATGTTTTACTCTTAAATATTTACTAGTGAAAGGCAATGTATAAATCAAGCCTATTAATGTATGAAAATATTTTTCTTGCTGGTTGTAAAGGTAGTGTGCCCTGATTCTTGATAGAAGAGAAACTACATAGAGAGAGAGAGAGATGGACTGAGGGGGCCTGTGGAATGACCTTTCTTTCAGCTGGTCAGTTCTTGTCAACTGGAGGAGAATTCATTTTAAAACCTGGGCAATATGTTTAAGATAAGATAATTTTTACTGTCACTTTTTCCATATAAACACTGTCACATATTAAAAATGAAATTCTGATGATCGCTGTCAAAAGAATATGTGTGTGTGTTTGTGTGTGTTGTGTCTGCTTCAGATACCACAATGCCTCCTAGAAGGTAACAAAGAAAACTGATCATGGAGAGGATATGTAACATCCCTGACAATACTGAGGACTCTGGTCAAGCAACACTTATATGCCCATTCCTGAATAGAAGGAAGTGAATATCTAATAATCTTTTCTGCTGTCCTCACCACTCTCTGCACAGTCTTCCTGACTGAAACAGTAATACCTCCAAACCAGGCATGTCAAACTCGCAACGTCACATGACGTCGTGCGACGTATCAGGACTTTCCCCCCATTGCCGGCAATGGGGTGGGCACGGTTTCGGTGTGACGCATCTGGCCTGTGGGCCGACAGTTTGACATGCCTGCTCCAAATCAAACAGTAATACAATATGACAGTTGCTTTCAGTCGTCCCTCTATAGAAAGTAGTAAGGACAGGGGAAGAAAAGTGTGCTCTTCTCATACAACGCAGAAAATGCAGGTGCTGCTGTGCTCGCTTCATCAGTGTCACACTGCTGAGTGACCAAGCTAACCTGCTCATTAGCTGCACACCCAGAAATTCAATACTACTAACCACCTCCACAGTTGAATCATTAATGCACAGAGGTGTATGGCCGTGCCTGTCTTTTCTGAAGTCTCTTTTGTTTTTCCTACATTTAGAATCAAGCTGTTCTTATTCCACCAGTCCACTGAACCCTCTACCTGCTCCTCTTTAGCTCCTTTTTCCCCTGAATATCAAGCCAAATATTTTAGATCAGCTTGATTCACCTCCTTCCCCCTCTGTGTAGAAACTGCAGTCCTCATGATGATAGTTTAAAGAAAGGTGGCTCTAAAAGAAAGGGGAGAGGTAAAGTTTAATTCATTATGAAATGGTCATGTGTTTTCCAAGAATAATGTTCAGTTTGCATAAGTTGGGAAATCAGATGCCTTCTCTTTCTGTGTAGGGCTTGGTTATTGCCTGTGCAATAATGTGTCTGCCTTTTGAGACTATTTCATTAAGTTTATTTGCATGCAAGTTGAGTTTTTCATATGCATGATATTAGAATGATCCACCCTTTCATAAGTTTAATGCTAATGAGGCTTCTGTAAAATTCCTTCCAACGATAGGATGTGTGTCAGACAATGGTGTGTCAGAACTTCATCCTAACAATATTCCCTCTCTTTTATTTTTCTTCAATGAGAAGGTTTTGTTCTCTGTACTTCGGCAGGAATATTCCCATCTGAGAGGTTTTGTTTCTTAATGTTGTAACTAAGCTGATCCTGAAAAAAATTTGTTCTCCAGTTCATTTACTTCAAGCACACTTCAAGCAGGTGCATAATGGCAAATTTGGCCTGTGTATATATGAAGCTTTGATGAGGCCATTTTATAGTTCTAGGAACAAGTAAAAGCAGGGTAAAATAGAGCAATGCCCTAAAAAAGTAGAATTCCTTCAAAAGGCAACAGTGGTAGAGATAATGTTAAAGCAGGGAGCTAGGAAAAAATAGCACAGTGCTTACAGTTGAGATAAGCCCCAGAATCACAAAGGGCTTGGCTGAAAGGGAACAAACTAGGGACCTTTATGGAGCTAAGACCGGAGGACAGAGGCTTGGAAAAATTTGGAACCTAATTTAGGAGAAAAGAATTTTGGCGTTTCTGCCTCTGCTTGATTTCTATGATCTTATTTCAGGGGTCTTCAAACTTGGCCCTTTTATGAATTGTGGACTTCAACTCCCAGAATTCCTCAGCCAGCATGCCTGGCTGAGGAATTCTGGGAGTTGAAGTCCACAAGTCATAAAAGGGCCAAGTCTGAAGACCCCTGTCTTATTTGGAGACAAGCAAGACAGTTAAAAAAATGGTGGCAATGTCACATGTTGAGTTCAGCTGTGGGCTTCTGGAAATTAGTTACTGTCTTTTTAAGCACCCGAAGTATCTTTCAGCCATCTTTACCATTGCTCTTGAATTAGTTCATTAACACCATTACCTTGCAGATCGGGGTGGGCAGAAATGATATAGCAAATGGAACTTGGCAATTTGCCAAGCACCATGTCCCTTTGATTTTGTTGTGAAATTAGAACAATGGTAAAAAAAAAATCAGCTTATGGCTGTTAGTAGAAATAATTAGGAAATATTTTCCCCAATTCTATGTTCATTTATATGATTGTATGGACTTTGGGATGGTCTACTCTGGACATCATTGTCTCTTCTACATGATCGTATACAAGGCACTCAGAAGAACCTTTGAAAACTAAGATGTGATTCCTGTTCACCTTTTCTTCTGGCAGACTTTTCTTCAGGTGTGTGGAGTGGTCGGAGTGGCGATTGCCGTGATACCCTGGATTCTCATCCCATTGGTTCCACTTCTTATTCTGTTCATATTTCTTCGACGATACTTTTTGGATACATCAAGAGATATCAAACGTTTGGAATCTACCAGTATGTGTTTTTAATTTTAACAATTTGGGGATCGTTGCATTCCATGCTGCAAATTGCTCACATACAGATTTGGATTTCCTTCTATACATATATGTGTATTTTGGTAGTGATTTTGAACATTCTTTTGGCCCATTCCTTCTTGTAGCACTTAATGGCACGTATAAAAATCCATTTCCAGCACGTAAACATTTTTCCGTTTTCAGCACCCCCAAAATTCTTAATTTCTTGCTCTCAGCAATAGACACAACATATGCCCCTTCTTCTCTCACTCACTGAGCACACCTCCCATGTGCTTTGCCTGCATTTGACATTAGGAATGCTTGCTAATTTGTTGAAATAAAAAGTGAAGGAGGTGCTTTCACCCCCACAGTACTTAATGCACCAATTTTATTTTAAATGAATAACCCCCAAAAGAGGTGGATGCACCTGTAACCATTAGAGGCTGGGGAAAAAAAGGAATGCGACTTTTGGACTTCAAAACGTTGCCTGTCTCTGATTTTTTTATTTAAAAAATTGTCCTGCTTTCTCTTTTCTCTTGATTTCAGCAATTCAGCTCTGGATTATAATTGACGCTTCTCTTATTCTTCAGAATGAAAATAAATGAAAATTTGGAGTTGCAATAGAAACAGAGGACAAGCTAGGAAGTTGCAGCCTACTTAAATATTGTATATTATAAATTGCTAAATGACCTCAATTCTACAGAATAACTGTAGCATAAAGGCTACATTTTCTTTATTATCCATTTTCCTCCCACAAGTCTGCCTTTCCATTGCTAGTTAGCATTTCTATCTACCTGTCTCAGAATACTGCCTGCTCAGCCTTTGTGCCAGACCTTCTGGTGCTGAGTAGGTATGAACAACATTATTCCACCTTATCCTAACTTCTGCTTTGTGTTCTTCACTGAAAGATGTCAGAGGAACACATTCTAAGTCACACAGATATTTCTGATTGAGTTCTGTAACTGATTATCAAACAACATAACAATTCAGAAGAGAGATAACCTAATCATGGCTGTATGTACAACAGTTGAGTATCACTTCCTGCAACTTCTGCATTGTTTGTTTGTTTGTTTGTCAAATTTATTTGCCTTCCATCTCACAGTTCAGGTGACTCTGAGTAGCAATAAGTTTATAATAATTTTTAAATAAGCATTGAGATAATTTTAGAGAAACTCTTACTGTTTTTATTCGGTTAATATCTGTTAATAGTATTAAAGGTCAGCATAATGAAAGAGTTCTCTTGAAATCTGACATCTTTTAATCTTTATGTTGCAGCTCGAAGCCCAGTTTTTTCTCATTTGTCATCATCTCTTCAGGGACTTTGGACTATTCGTGCTTTTCAAGCACAGCAGAGATTCCAAGAATTATTTGATGCACACCAAGACCTACACACAGGTTTGTAAAAAGATCAAGGTAATTAATTTCCAGTTCAGCAGAACCAAGAAGGAAGATTCTTCTTGCAGCATACTATTTCATAAACTACAGTATTCATTAACTGAGAAATGGAATGGGGCAGGAAAATTAAGCATTATTTCATCTGAGGCATTTGTTGTATGACTTCTCAAAAATCTTCTCTGTTTCAAATAGCCAAAAAAGAATATAAAGCCTAATATTGGTTAGTGGATTGTGTGTGTGTGTGTCAAATTATAGTAAATTAAACTAGGGCAAATTTCTTAAAATACATTTGAAAATGTACTGTCTACTTGTAAAAATCTTCTGGAAAGCTGCAGGTGTATCAGGAACTTCTAATGTCAGAAGCCTTCTGTTGCTGGTCTTACATGATATGGCATTACCTAAGACAGACCCAGTGTATATAATCTGGGGGTCCTCCTGGATTCACGTCTCTTGCTCAAAGAACAGGTTGCAGCTGTAGCCAGGGGGGCCTTTGCATAACTTCAGTTCTTTACCAGGTAGGCCTGTTCCTGGACAGGGAGGCCCTGCTCACTATCACTGATGCTCTCTCATCTGCAATTCGCTCTACATGGAGCTGTATTGAAGTGTATGTGGAAGCTTCAGCTAGCACAGAATGTGACAGCATGGCTAGTAAATGAGGCATCCAGTTTTGGTCATCACAATATAAAAAGGTGTTGAGAAAGAGTGCAGAGAAGAGCAACAATGATTAGGTGGCTGGAGGTTAAAACATATGAAAAACAGTTGCAGGAATTGGGTATATCTAGTGCAGGGGTAGGGAACCTTGGCTCTTTTATGACTTGTGGACTTTAATACCTAGAATTCCTGAACCAGTCATGCTGACTCAGGAATTCTGGGAGTTGAAGTCCACAAGTCATAAAAGAGCCAAGGTTCCTACCCCTGGTCTAGTGAAAAGAAGGACTGGAGTGACATAATAGTAGCCTATATTTGAGGGGCTGCCACAACGAAGAGGGGAGTCAACCTATTTTTCCCAAGTACCAGAAGTCAAGACAAGAACAATGGATGGAAAATAATTAAGGAGAGAAACAACCTAGAACTAAGGAGAAATGTCCTCATGATGAGAACAATCAACTAGTGGAATGGCTTGCCTTCAGAAGTTGTGGGTGCCCCATCATTGAAGGCTTTCAAGAAGAGACTGGACAGCCATTTGTTTGAAATGGTTTAGGGTCTCCTGCTTGAGCAGGGGGTTGAACTAGATGTCCTCCAAGGTCCTTTCCAGCTCTGTTATTCTATGAATCTATGGCTTTCTTGTGGTTTTTTTTCCTTGAAAATGTTTCGCTTCTCCTCCAAGAAGCTTTGAGTTTGCTGAGAATTCAAGGTGGCGAACTCAAACATGCTTTAGCCAAAAGGCAACTGGACTTACTTGATTTTTGTTCCTTTGAAAGTGTTTCACTTCTCACCTAAAAAGCTTCATCCAAGAAAAACAAAAAACAAGAAAGACCAGTTGTCTTTTGGCGAAAGCACCTTTGGGTTCGCCATCTTGTGTTATTTGTAAAAATAATAAAGGTGGGATATAAATAAATAAATAAATAAATATACAGTACATATCTGTTTACGTTTGGTTCCCATATTTACTTCTTGAAATATGTGTAGGCTCATAGTCCAGCTATCTAAATGTTTAAATGAACTGGAATATCTACGCAAAAGTTACACAAGGCAACATATGGATGTGGTCAACAGTTTACAGTGCTACTTAGTGGTAACTCATTAGAATAAGTTACTGAGTGTCAGCCCTGCCCCATCTTGGTCTTTCAGGAAAGCAAGACTCTCAACTCTGTTTATAGTGAAAAGAATACTTTTACTAAAAGCCAAGTGGTTGCGGTAAAACAAACTGAACTGAAGTTTTGCATATGGAAGCTTCCCAGTTAACTTTCTCTTTCTCATTTCATCCCTCTGCTGTTTGTCCAGTCACATTCAAAGAAGTTGTTTTGGTAACTGTCCCTGCAAAGGTGGGCTAGATCTTGAGCCCTTACATTCCATTTCCCAAGCCGGGGACCTTGGGATGATGAGCTGATGTCTCAGGATGGCACTAACTTTAGTTTCAGTTTCCCCATCCCCCCCCAGCTCCCTCCCCGCATAGTATAACCTGGTTCTTTCTACTCCTTGTCCAGTCCCCAACTCCAGCTTGACAGATCAGACCTAAGGATTAATACAAAGCAGAAGGACTCAGTAGAGGTAGTTTTCAACTTACAACCACAATTGAGCCCAATTTCTATTCTTAAGTAAGAAATTGTTAAGTGAGTTTTGCCCCATTTTATGACATTTCTCAGTGTTAAATGAATCACTGCAGTTAGTAAGTTAGTAACTTTTTTTGTAACTTAGTAACTAAGTTAGTAACTTTGTTGTTAAGTGAATCTGGCTTCCCCATTGACTTTGCTTGTCAGAAGGTCGCAAAAGGGGATCATATGACCTTGGGACACAACAATGGTCACAAATATGAAGCAGTTGCTAAGCATCTGAATTTTGATCACATGATCAGCATCATGATGCTGCAAAGATTGTAACTCTGAAACATGATCATAAGTCACTTTTTTCAGGGCGGTTGTAACTTGAACGGTCACTAAATGAATTGTTGTAAGTCAAGGACAGTACAGGCAGTCATTGATATACAACCATTTGTTTAATGACTGTTCAAAGTTACAATGCCACCGGAAAAAGTGACTTATGATCATTCCTTGTTCTTATGACTATTGTAGCATCCTCATGACAAATGATCAAAATTTGAGCACTTGGCAACTGGCATGTATTTATGACAGTTGCAGCATCCCAGGATCATGTGATCACCATTTGCGACTTTCCCAGTTGACTTCCAACAAGCAAAGAAGTCTGATTTGCTTAATGACTGCCTGATTCACTTAACAACAGCAGTGATTTGCTTAACAACTGTGGCAAAAGAGGTCATAAAATTAGGCGCAATTCACTTAATGACTGCCTTGCTTAGCAACATAAGTTCTGGTCCCCATTGTGGTCATAAGATGAGGACCACCTGTATCACGGTATGTCTTTAGAAGTAAAATGGAAACCTTCCTGAATTTCCAAAATCAGTTTCAAGGATAAGACCGAATTTATATAATCCAATTGTTTCAGCCCTGCTAATGTTGTATCTGTTGCATCTGAACAATCTCCCTTTCTTCTTTTTGCTTTCAGAAGCCTGGTTCCTATTTTTGACTACGTCTCGCTGGTTTGCGGTACGCTTGGATGCCATCTGTGCCATCTTTGTGATAGTGGTGGCCTTTGGCTCTTTGCTGCTTGCACAGAGTAAGTTTACTTGCTGGAAAACATTATACTATTATCTACTCTGGTTTGCCTTCTCATATTTTTCTAGCTACGCTACCAACGTCAAATGAATAAACTGTGTTCTTTTCACAAGCCAATTACTGGTAATGAGTTAGTACTTCCTCCAGATAATTTCTGGGTAATGTGGTTTGTTTTAATTGTTGTCCAATGTGCACCATCTTTTGCCCTCTCTTCTTCTTTGTTTTTAACGGTGAACCGCCCAGTCATTGGAAGACAGGCAGTGTAAAATTTTAATAAATTAAATCAATCAGTAAGTTAAATTCTGTTAACATTGTGATGCTACAAATGAATATACTTACAATTCTTCTTAATGTCCTTTATTTATATATATATAATAGATTCCTCTTTGTCACAATCCTTTATTTAAGATTTTTTTTTTCTGGAGAACTTGTTCCCTATGCACATACACAGCCCATAAGCATATCTATTTAGTTTGTGTAATTTAAGCTTTATATTTTCAATTTCCATAAACTAGATTATTAGAATTGAAGAAAATTGTTCATTCAAAATTCTTTATACCTGCTTTCTTTCTTGCCTCATAGCTCTTGATGCTGGAAAGGTGGGCCTTGCTTTATCCTACGCAATCACTCTCACCGGAATGTTCCAGTGGGCAGTTCGGCAAAGTGCAGAAATTGAAAATCTGGTAATAAGCAGTTGTTTCTTTAAAATATGTAAAAAAAAAATCCTGTTGCATTGAAAGCCCAAAGACATTTTGCCCTGTTGGTTCCCTTGCTCTAATACATCTGATTTTGCCTCCATCCTTCTGTGTTGTGGGGAAGTGAATTACTCTGAATGCAAAAAAGTCAATATCCAATTTTGGTCAGTCCCGGTAACTGACCCAGATTGGGTCTTGCAGCATTATCCTGAGACACGTATTTTTGCTTCATTCATAACAAAAAAGTCATTTGAGAATTATGAAAGAACTTTCTGTGAAAGAAAACAAAGATGGCAATCCCTTCTTACAGGGAGTAGGAAGAATTTCAGTCATGTTAGTCTTTCATTCAGAGAGCATAATGTAACCCAGACATGGTGGGATGAGAAAAGAAAGAGATGAGTGTGTACATATATTAAATTAGTGTTATATTACAATACATATTAAATTAGTGTTATTATATATTTAATTTTATTATCATTATATATTTAAGTTTAATTGTATTATACAGTATTATATAATTAATATATAAATAATATATAATATATTATTATATACTTAATATGAGCAGCATGGTGGCCTAATGGTGAAGATACTTCCCACTCAGAAGATTGAGAGTTCAATCCTAGGTAGCAGCAGATGTTTCTCTCCTAGGGTGCAAAGGAAAAATATCTGCTGTGAAGTCTGCCATAGATGTCAAGAAGGACATCCGGACAGTAAACATTCAGCTCTACCCATTTCCCCAACTCTACCCTGAATAGGGACTACAGGGTTGAAAAAGGGAGATTTTTTTAATAAAATCAATATATACTTATTACATTATGGATAAGGAAAATACTGTGGACATGGTTTACTTGGACTTCAGTAAGGCATTTGACAAAGTAGACCACCCCCTAACTTCTCGGTAAGATAGAATAATGTGGGATAGACAGTACCATTATCAGATGGATTTGCAACTGGTGAACCAACCATACACAGCAGATGGTCCTCAATGGAACAACATGTACATGAAGTGGGGTACCTCAAGATTCTGTCTTAGGCCAGTGCTCTTCAACATCTTCGTAAATGATCCAGATGAGGGGATAGAAAGGAAACTCATCAAATTTGCAGATGACATCAAGCTCGGGGGAATAGCTGACATTTTGGAAGATAATTTCAAGATCCAGAAGAATCTTGGCAGACTTGAACACTGGGCCCTATCTACAAAATGCAATTCAGTGATAAGAAAGTAAGATCCTGCACATAGGCAAGAAAAACCAAATGTGTAGCTATAGAATAGATGGTACATGGCTCAATAATAGCAACTATGAGAGGGATCTAGGTATCCTACTAGACCACCACTTAGTTATGAGCCAGCTATGTGCTGCAGCTGCCAAAAAAGCTAATGCAGTCCTAGGCTGCATCAAGAGAGAGATAGATTCAAGATCACATGAAGCAATAGTACAGCGGTTCTCAACCTATGGGTCGCGACCCCATTTGGGGTCGATCGACCATTTCACGGGGGTCGCCAAACCACGCGCCTCGGGGATGGAGGGCACCTAAAGCCGGCCACGGAGTGAGGAAATGGGGTCGGGATGATCTTCTGGAAGCTGAGGTAGGCAGGAGCCATGGAAGTGCAGTCGGTATCTGAGCCGTCGGTGGCAGCGGCGGCGGGGGCAGTGGCCCTCGGCAACAGTGCTCTCCCTTTGGAACCGGCAAAGGATACGGATCGCCAGCTGCGTCTTCGCCTCTGTGTCCTCAACCGAGCAGGATTACGTGGGCACCCTGCGCTTCCTGTAGGGTGCAAACGCCGGGGCTCCGGAGGGTATGCCTGGACCCCGGGAAGGGGAGGGAGTCACTGGGGCGGGCGAAAGGTTGCGTCGAGGAAGAGGAAGGGCAGCTGTGCATCTGCTGCGGCGATGGGACCCGCGGCGGCCACGCCCACTTGGCCACGCCCACTTGGCCACGCCCACTCAGTGGCCACGCCCACTCAGTGGCCACACCCACTCAGTGGCCACACCCACTCAGTGGCCACACCCACTTGGCCACGCCTCTGGGGTCACCACAACGTGGGGAGCTGTATTATGGGGTCACGGCATTAGAAAGGTTGAGAACCACTGCGATAGTACTACTTTATACTGCTCTAGTGAGACCACACTTGTAATACTCCATCCAGTTCTAGTCTCCTGATACAAAAAAAGATATTGAGGCCCTAGAAAGAGTGCAGAGAAGAGCAACAAAGATGATAGGGGATCTGGAGGCTAACCCAGGTATTTCCAGTCTAACGGAAATAAGGACTATTGGTGATATGATAGTAGTCTTCCAGTACTTGAGGTGTGGTCAAAAGGAATAGATGGGCAACCTATTCTTCAAAGGCCTGAAGGCAGGACAAGAAGTAATGGATGGAAGATCATTAAAGAGACCTCCAACCTAGAACTACGAGAAATTTCCTGACAGTGAGAATAAGTAATCAGTGGAACGGCTTATCAAGCTTTTCAAGCGGAGACTGGTAGTACAGGGTCTCCTGCTTGAGCAGACAGTTGGACTAGAGGTCCTCCAAGGTCCCTTCCAACACTATTATTATATGCTCTATGTTCTCTATTCTATTTCATGTTTGTAAACTAATACACTGTGAACAGCTCTACAAAGCATGCTTCCAGTTGTCCACTGCTAACACAAGGATTATTTAAGATATGCAGGGTAGCATACTGGTAAAGAAAAAGGCATACTGTATATGTTTAATTGCTGTAGTTTAATCCAGTGCACATTGAAGAGGGATATAATTAAGGTCCCACCATTGTGGAGTGTTGTTTTCAGACATAGGAGATTAACGTAGATCAATACCAAGATGTACTGTAGGTTTGTTCCAGATGTATGAAAGCAAAATTGTTTCAGAATATATTTTTTTCACTTATTTATTTGATTTATGCTCCTCCCCTTTTTCTTAAAAGCATATCTATTCAGGTAGAAATAAATGCAGCAAGCATTGAATCTGATTCTATTTGAAACCTGAAAATTAATCCGCAAGTGATTACTGCATTGTAAATCAATAAATACCTAGGAATCAATTTTTCTTTTTCAGATGATATCAGTGGAACGAGTAACGGAATACACAGAGTTGGAACAGGAAGCACCCTGGCATACACACAAACATCCACCAGCGCAGTGGCCAACTGAAGGAGTGATAGTATTTGATGATGTGAACTTTGCTTACAGTGCAGATGGTCCTTTAGTGTTGAAACATTTATCTGCTTTAGTTAAATCAAAAGAAAAAGTACGTATGTGTTAATTTTATTTTTGAGTCAGAATGGTAAAAAGTCTTAACAGTGGTTGGGTTTCATAGGCTTGATTTCACAGATCGCATACAAGTAATCCTTATGACCCTAATTGAGTCCAGTTGTTAAGCGGGACATTGGTTAAGTAAGTTTTGCCCCATTTTACAACTTTTCTTGCCCCAGTTGTTAAGTGAATCACTGCACTTGATAAGTTAATAACCCAGTTGTCAAGTGAATCTGGCTTCCCCATTGACTTTGCTTGTCAGAAGGTGGCAAAAGGTGGTCACGTGACCCTGGGACACAGCAATGGTCTGAATTTTGATCACATGATCATGGGGATGGTGCAAAGGTATTAATTGGTTTTTTTCAGCACTGTTGTAACTTTGAATGATCACTAAGCAAACTGTTGTAAGTGGAGGACTACCTGTATTTTGTTTTTAGGAGGATTAGTAATGTTAGTCTCATGGAACTTCTCTTCTGCCATTCCCCATCTCTTCTGTACATGCACAATTCTTCGTCACTTGGGCAGAGATCAAATTTCTTATTCTTGGTCTCTTGTTTTAGCTGTTTTAGGTTTTAAGAAGGAGATGAAATATAATATTTACTGGTGCTGCAATTACTCAAATCAACTTTGGTTGATCTAGGAAGTTGGAAAAATGTCTATCTTTGTTTCCCTTAATCTAATTTTTCACTGAAGCATGATCATTTAGATTCTGGAATAATATGTTGTTAAATGATTTGTAGTATATTAATGATTATCTAATAATATATTAATATGATAGTCTGGTATAATACTTAGGATGTTAGATTAGGACTGGGAGTACCTACATTCAAATTCATTCTCATTGGTTGATTTTAAATGCTAAGAGTAACCCCTTATGTCCTTTCGTATCTTAGCTTATTGAAACAATTGGAAGTGGCCTTCTTTAGCACTCATTTTATAGAGACATTTGACAATCTCTCATTTCCTCAGTTTTTAGAAGGCTGGTCATAATGACCAATTTAGGTTGTTTTATCTTTTTTCTGCTTATAATTCTAAGATACAGCATTGCTATGCTTTGTGCAGCAGCTTGTTAAATCTTGTAGGAACTAACTATTAATAGAGACTATAAAATTCTTACATACTTGTAATAGTGTATTTCTGTCTTTTGTTTTCTATTCATTTTGGTTAACAGTATTAAACAATGTTATAGCCCATTATTATGAATATTTTACTATCATATTTTTATTTTTATAGGTAGAATAGAATAATATTGTATCATACTTTATTAATTTTGTAATAGTTTACAACTATTAGCTTATACATTAATTTTGATATGTTACTATATGTAGGTTTAATATGAATCATGTACTTTGTAGATTTAAGACAAAATGGATTTTCTAGTTCAAGGAGATAATTTTTTAAAAATTATCTTTTTATAGTTTATATTATACACTAGACATTAGGTTTGGAAAGCTTCATGATTTTCTAATTTTAAATATTATACTAGGCTGGTTCTGGACAGGAATATAATAAATCTGAAATCTTGGATTGATTCAGCCCAGGATTGCTTGCAATACCCACAGCACTGAAGGATTTGCAAGGATGGTTCTAAAAATACTGCAAAGCAACTTGTACAAGCAATTAGAGAGGTTAGGTTCTCTTCTCAGCTATACCTCCCATTTTATAAAATGCTGCTTCATCCCCCTAATTCCCAGTTAATCTCAGAAAGAATAATTCCACTATTCAAACTACTATTTATGTAAATCTACTATAAAGATGCTGGCTTTTATTTTGCATAGATGACTTCATGGGGAAGCGGAAGCCTCTAAGAGTTTATTCAAGATATCTCTTTATCACTTTCATACTTTTGTTTGCCTTGGGCCAACTCTTGCAGTAGTCATATGCTCTTCTAATAGCGGATAAGGATTTAGATGTCATGGAAAGTAACGAACCAAACAAACATGACTGGGAAGAGAGGGAATATGTTGCTGAATTAATGTACCTGGGCAGTTTTCTTAGCAGGAATAAGGAAGTGGTTTGCCACTGCTGCTTCGGAGATCTTCTTGTGGTTTCCCTTCTAAGAAAAGATAGATCCGACTTTGTTTAGTGTTTTTGTGATTAGTTAAGGTTCCCTCAGGAGCTTTCATCTGCAGTGATTAAGACAACTGAAAGAGATATTGTTGAGAGTTTATCTCAACTAATTCTCCAATTATTCTATTGATGCTAAAAGGAGGGTAAAACACGTTCCAAATGAAGAAAAACAGCTGGTGGGCTTTGGGGGCTGAAAGGGAAGTTTGAAGAATTTCTGAATGTTGTTGTGATCTTATGCTAGGTAGCACCTCCCACTGAATGCGAATTCAGAATCTCACTGCTCCTGATTTCACAGTATACTTCTTGATTTTTTTAAAAATATATATCAATGAAGACAAAAAGCAGCATTTTCCAATTAAATATGCAACTAATATGTACCAAGAGAAATGTATTTAAAAGGTATCAATATCATTGACAAACTTTCATGCAGAACATTTTTTAAAAAAATTGATACAATTAATTATTGTCTCTCTGATGGCTGAGCTAGAAATTGATAAATAGACGTTGGGTCTAAGAAGTATATTTCAGTTTCTTAATGTAAAAGAAATATATGTTTATTCCTGTACTCCTGATGACAGAAGGTCTATAACAGACATGTCAAACACGAGGCCCGGGGGCTAGATGCGGCCCGCGAAGTGATTTCATGTGGCCCGTGAAGCCATCCTGGAAACAGTAAGGGAACGGCCCCATCTGCCTTGGCCCTGCCCCAATGTACAATTTTGTGGTGGCCATCTATGCTGAAACGCATTCAGTCTTAGCTCCATAAGCCCCCCCCCCACATGGCCTGAGAGGAACAGTGAGGCTTCTCCAGTGGACCATGCCTTGGCACTTGCCCTGGTCCCATCCACTTCTTCCAGAGACCCTCAGATCTGTCCCACTCCTGCCCAGGTCCCCACAGGCACCCTTGATGCGATGTAGAGCTGGCCACACCCACCCAGTAGGCCACACCCACTCCATCCACACCCACCCAGTAGGCCGCAACCACCCTAGCCACACATCCCCGCACCCTGAGGGCAACCGCAATGCTGATGCGGACCTCAATGAAATTGAGTTTGACACCCCTGGTCTATAAAAAGACCACCCATAATATTTACTCCGAGAATTGTGAAATAAAAACACTGTTATTCCTATCCAAAAGCAAATGTTAATAATGTTTTATGAGCTGCCCAGGCCCTGAAGCTAGACAATGGTAGTTTCAGAAACATATATAAAATTGCATTAAAATTTAAGTTCAATTTAAACAGTTGGAATAAGATAGGTATGCTTTAAGTCCTAATAAATAAATACCAGCCATCTCTTTCATATGTGCTAAGGGAAAACATTTGTTTGATTCCTTCTTCACATGAGGAAAATGAACTAAAATCACTATATTATCCAACAATAGGTTTAGATCATTCAAATACTGTGGAAATCTTCCTTTTGAAGACAATGTTCATACATCTTTTGTTGCCTAATATCTACTTTGTACATCTTGCCTTACAAGAAGTAAAATAAACAAGATAATTAGAAGCAGTGCTTTAGAAATGCCTTCTTCCCCTAGTATATGGTTGTTGTTTTTTTTGTATTTGTCTTTCAGGTTGGAATTGTGGGAAGAACAGGAGCTGGCAAAAGCTCTCTAATAGCTGCTCTTTTCCGGTTGGCCGAGCCTCAAGGAAGAATTTGGATTGATAAATATTTGACATCAGAACTAGGACTTCATGACTTGAGGAAGAAAATCTCAATCATACCTCAGGTATTGGTCTGCTTTGCATATCGGCCTATTTTAGAAGACCATCCAGTGCTCTCCAGAAACCTTAGGGTTGTAAATTTTTCTTTATCTTTCTTCTGCACTCTGCTGGTTATATGCCAGGAATCTTATAGAGTAGCGTGATGTCTCTGTGTATGTTAATCCTCTCTTCTTGAATGATGACTGAAAATGAAGTGAAATTATTATGACTATTTTAAGAGGTTCATTATCTATGTTTCTGTCATGCCCAAACAGCTTTCTTTTAGCCATTAGTTATGACTACAGATTGAATTTAGTTTAAAGACTGTAATGATGCATTCTGTATTGGGGACATAAAATATTTCAGAGAGGAAATTATTCTGACAAATAGAAGAGAATATGTTTGTGCATGCGCACATGCGCTCGCGCACACCCACACACAGCGTCTTTGTCCTCTCAAATATACACCATAAAATAAAGATTTTATGGACTAGGGTGCTGTGAATCAGATCCTGTTCCTGGCACTTTAGATTTCACTGAGAACATAATTTTAGCTAGTTAGTAGAAAATTGATAATTTTTATTTGGCTTTCAAGATATTCCAGAATGTGAATGTTTTATTCTCAGCTGCTTTGGAAGACTTGAAATGGCTATTTGGAGCTAGAAAACTTTTGCTCATATGTCCTGAAACGTAGTAAATTAACTCAGTCGCTGCTTTGAACAGCTATCAGCTCCAATCTCTCAGGTTCATTTGTGCCATTCTAAATATGTAACAATATAAACACATTGATCATTACCCCCCAAAAGCTCCAGTGCATCCCTCCAGTGCATTAACAGAGGGATAGAATCAAGATCACATGTAATATTAATACCACTTTTCAATGCCTTGGTAAGGCCACACTTGGAATATTGCATCCAGTTTTGGTCACCACGATGTAAAAAAGATGTTGAGACTCTAGAAAGAGTACAGAGAAGAGCAACAAAGATGATTAGGGGACTGGAGGCTAAAGCATATAAGGAACGGCTGCTGGAATTGGGTATGTCTAGTTTAATGAAGAGAAGGACGAGGGGGGACATGATAGCAGTGTTCCAGTATCTCAGGGACTGCCACAAAGAAGAGGGAATCAAGCTATTTTCCAAGGGGCCTGAAGGCAGGACAAGAAGCAACGGGTGGAAACTAATCAAGGAGAGAAGCAACCTAGAATTAAGGAAAAACTTCCTGACAGTTAGAACAATTAACCAGTGGAACAACCTGCCTCCGCAGGTGGTGAATGCTCCAACACTGGAAGTTTTTAAGAAGAGACTGGACGGCCATTTGTCTGAAATGGTGTAGGGTTTCCTGCCTGAGCAGGGGGTTGGACCAGATGACCTTCAAGGTCCCTTCCAACTTTATTATTCTAATTATTATTATTATTATTATTATTATTATTATTATTATTGTTGTTGTTGTTGTTGTTGTTGTTGTTGTTGTTATCATTATTATTATAGTATGTCTGGCCATCTTTCCTTTGAACTATGTTTTTTGGATTGAAAAGCAATCCTATCAGTTCCTATGAGGACCCAGGGGTGGGGTACTGATCCAGGAATGGGAGCAGAGGAAATATGGTTTTATTTCCAGGTTGCTTTTTAAATTAAGAAACAGGTTGTTTAATGGTAAACGGGCAGGGGGAGGGGGAAATCAGTGTAATTTAACTTCAGTTAGTGGCATGCAAAGGAAGCACGGGGCCTCTTAGACTCATGATTGCCTTGTTCACCTTTGCTCTTTTGACATCAAAATGCTCAATTTTTATACTCCCCCCCCCAACTCTTCTGAGTAGCTAAGTGGATAGATGTCAGTCATAAATTTTGGCAAGCCAAATTTGATTTTTTTTCTCTCCTATCTCAGAAATCAAAAGATCCTCCAATCCCTGCACATTCTAGTTGTCATGTGTTTTCAGCTTAAAATATAGGTTGCATTCGGAGAGTAATGAAACAGGGGTGTCCATTTCACTACGTATATCAATGTAATATGTGACAATTGTCACAGGACTGTTACTATGAACTCGTAATATATATTTGAGATAGGGCTCTCTAGTTCTTCTTCCCTATAATGTCTTCCTTGTCAAGGCTAAATATTACAAAAACACAAAACATAAGTCAGCCTCCTAACATGTAGCTAGAGCCATTCTCCCTCAAAAACTGAAGCAGGGAGCTTCTGCCAGTTGGCCTTTGTCAAGTTGTGTATTGTTTCACCTGATCTGGAGTGAGACTGGAGACCCTGTATTAAATGACATGAAGCCTGGAATGATGTGTGGTTGTAGGGCTTTCTGTGAGACTTTTTTTTTTCCTTTTCTCTTTGATTATTTTTTTTTTCGAACTACCATGATAAAAGTTAGGCAAGCAGTATGGCTCTTTAAAAGCTCTCTTTGCCTTATCCTCCTTTTGCCCCTCTGCTCAAAGAATAGAAAGCACGGAAAGAGGTAGGTATGCTATTACTACTAAATAAATACAATTGGATTGTAGCCTAATGCAAGCTCCCTCTTTGTTTCTGGATGCTGAAGGCTTCATAAATGCACAGTAGTGCTGCTGAGTGAAGTTGATGACCCTTTTGTACCTAAGAGGACTTTACATGGACTTAAATTCTTCTGCCTTTGTGTTTGCACAATATTCTTTTCTCCTGAAAACAGATGACGAACTGTTCATTCAATAGCTGCAAAGTTTTGAAAGCTTTCCTAGCTATTTCAGGTGGGAACTGTATTGTATAATACTGGAGGTTTTTTCCCCCAGGAAAAAAAATATACATTTTTAGAAGGTAGGAAATTTTCCTACACTAATTTTATTTTCCATCCTATTTATTGTTACATACATTGTTGATATATTAAGCTCCTTATATAGGAATTGCACTTCAAAATAAAACAAAAAGTGCCTTGTCTATCATCTTGGCAGTATAAATAAGATTGAATCAAATTCATGAGGGAGAGCTTCATTTGTGTAAAAGTATTTAGTTACTTTTTTTTACATTAAAGGAGTCTTTTTTCATATTGTCAGTAGAACATAAAAGTCCGCAAAACTGTAAGATGCTGATCATACCAGTGACAAACTACATTGTATTATTGTATTTGTGTTGAAAACAGCTGCATAGTATGACCATACGCAGTATATTTTTTAATTTTGATTTGCACAAATTCTTCCTCCATTTTTGCAGTGTTAACCATGGTTTGAGGTGTGTATGTGCTGCTTGGAAGACATTTGATTAGTTTGACAAGTTTAATTTGATTGACAAGTGAGACTTAAGGTTTTAGGATAAAATTTCTCAATATTCATTACTGCATCTAAATAAAATATTTTGAAGTCGATTCTAGAAATGCGCTCTGATTAGTTGGTTGATTTCATCCATGTAAGACACCTTACAGTACATACCAATTAAAATCAAAAGGTAGGAGAAACCGTTAAAATAATATTGTTTGCTAAACTGAGTTATTGTCATCTCCCCCATCAGAAAGCAAACCTATGGAAGTCTTTTCTATCTCCCATCTACCAGCTGCTGCTTATGCTGATTTCAAGCAACCTTAAAATGCAAATAATGCGTAGTGTTCAATAAAAATTCCATACATTCTATTTTACTGTTGTGGATGCGATGGGAAGGCTAATGTATTTTGCTATCACATTCCTTCATGCATCTCTAAGTATGAATATGCTGGTAGAATTTTGCATAAAACCTGCTTCTGACCACCCAATTCAGTTCAGAGTGAGATAAATAATGCCTTTTGTTGCATTTTAATATATATCAATCTAATTTGACCTTCTGAGTGATTACATGAAGTGGAACAGATACATTGTTTAGTTTTTGCATTGCTCCAAATTTTGCAGTGCAATTATGTAATTAAAAATGGATAGTCAAACTCAAAGTGACAAATCTATCTGTTTTTCTAAGACATTTTTTGAGTAATTTACAAAATATTTCCTATAAAATCTTCACAAAAATTCACACACCCACAGACATATTTACATGTGAGTTTTCATCCAGAGAAAAGTCCATGTGCATTTTAATTGTATGTTGTAGCATACATGACCAATATGGAAATTAATTAATTAATTAGATTTAAATACTATTTAGATTTAAATACTGCGTGAGTCTCAGCAACTCTAAGGTGCTACAACATAAAATGCTTATGGACTTTTCTCTGGATGCAAATTCACATATATTTATGTCTGTGGGTGTGTGAATTTTTGTGAAGATTTTATAGGAAATATTTTGTAAATTACTCAAAATGTGTCTTAGAAAAACAGATAGATTTGTCATTTTGAGTTTTCCTAGTAGCTAGTCCATCTTTTATTGATATTTAAGAAGTCAGTTTAGTTTTCATGGAATATATTTTGAAAACAATTTCTCATTTGAACAAACTGAATCACAAGATGGAATGGAAATGCATTCACTGCCAGCTTGTAAATCCTTGTCTCTCAAGTGTGGCTTCCCCCTCCAGGTCTTGGCTTATGCTAATCATAGTTTGTCCTAAAATCTAGGTTTTGAATAATGTTTTTAGGCAATAGAAGACAGCAAGGGGGAAATCCATCAAGAAAAAGAGAGAAATTAGGAGATTCTGAAGACGTGCTTCTAATTGCCTTCTGAAATTAGGATACTACAAATAGTTTTTCTCAGGATAAACCTATTGGATGGGTTGACTCTAGTTGGAATCAGAATCAGAATAGAACAGGAAGGGAGCTTGGAGGTCTTCTAGTCCAAACCCTAGCAGGAGACCCTATACCAGTAGTTCTCAACTGTGGGTCGGGACCCCATTTGGGATCGAACGACCATTTCACGGGGGTCGTCAAACAACGCAGTCTGCCATTTTTTCCCCCTTTTCGTTAGCTGTGCTACTCCCTTTTATTCTATTGGCTTTTGAAAACCAATAGAATAGACTCTCTTGAATAGAGTCTAATACTATTGGCTTTCAAAAGCCAATCGGAATTGTCCAGGCTGTCTGTGCCCTGCTGAGCCTGCCAAAAGTCCCATTCTGCAAACAGTGCTGCACCAGTTGAGTAGTCCTCGACTTACGACCGGTTGAGTAGTCCTCGACTTACGACCGGTTAGGGGTCGTGACATTAAAAAGGTTGAGAACCACTGCCCTATACCATTTCAGACAAGTGGCTGTCCAGGTTCTTCTTAAAAGCCTTCAGTGATGAAGCACCCACCATGTCTGAAGGCAAGCTGTTCCACTAGTTAATTGTCCTCACTGTTAGGAAGTTTCTCCTTAATTCCAGGTTTCTCTCCTTAAGTAATTTCCATCCATTGTTATTTGTCCTGCCCTCTGGTGCTTTGGAAAATAAATCGACCCCTTCCTCTTTATGGCAGGCTCTGAAATACTGGAATGCTGCTATCATGTCCCCCCTAGTCCTTCTTTTCCCTAGACTAGCCAAACCCACAACCTGCAACCATTCTTCAACTGTTCTTTAGTCTCCAGGCCTTTAATCATCTTAGTTGCTCTTCTTTTCACCTTTTCCAAAGTCTCAACATCTTTTTTGTAATGTGGTGACTTGATAAAGTGGTACTAATACTTTACATGATTTTGATTCTTGTTGTTGTTAATTGCGAAGTCATGTCCGACCCATCGCGACCCCATGGACAACGTTCCTCCAGGTCTTCCTGTCCTCTACCATCTTCGGGAGTCCATTTAAGTTCTCACCTACTGCTTCAGTGACTCCATCCAGCCATCTCATTCTCTGTCGTCCCCTTCTTCTATTGCCCTCAATCTTTCCTAGCATTAGGCCCTTTTCCAGTGAATCCTTCCTTCTCATTAGGTGGCCAAAGTATTTGAGTTTCAACGATTTTGATTCTATGCCTCTGTTTATATGAGCAAGGATTGTATTAGCTTTTTTGGCTGCTGCCACACACTGCTGACTATGCAGGTATTGTAGTATTTACACAATCAGCAAGTGACTATTGTATTGAACGTGCCAGGTAACACATGAACTGATGCATTCTGGACCAACCGAGTGGCATTTAAAGGTCCATGTATCACAAATTGTAGTAGTTTCTTATATCTATACTTAAAATGATTACTGAGCTAATAATGTTCCAGAAATTATAATGCTGGCTAACTTCTATTTTAGTGTTTTTTAATCTTGGAATCTGGAATCATGGCAACTGGACTTTTTTTTCCTTTGGTTTGAAATGTTTTGCTGTTTATCCAAGTATACCCAAATGTTTCAGACCAAAAAAGAAATCCAGTTGCCATGACTCATCTTCCAGACAATTCTACCTGGATCACAGAGAAATTTCACTGACATATTCAACTTTGAAACTTTAAGATGTACTGTAGGCTTCAACCTCCCAAATTATCCAGTCAGCTTGCCCGCTAGGGAATTCTGGGATTTGAAGTTCACACATCTTAAAGTTGCCACGGTTGAAAAATATGATTCTGATTGGTTCTTTAGATGCTACTTCATGAAACTTGTATTAGTTAACATCAGTCCTTTGAGGCAAAAATATCTATTTCTCTGATTGTAATTTATCATTTTTATAGGTTTAGCTTATGAGCTTCCTCTCATGAAACAGGCCATTTTTATATAACTATTTGCCAGGAGCTGAAATTAAAACTATCCTTATCTTCTTCTGCAGTATGCTCCTACTATTTTATAGCAGTTATAAAGATTTTATGAATTGAAATTTTCCATTTTGCCAAACTATTAAAAAATTGAAATGGAACTTCATCTCCACAATATCTGAAATATACATCTAATACCATTAATAGATTTTTTAAAAATAAGATTGTTATATTAAAAAACAGCATTTTTAATGCTTTATTGAACCCATATGATCAAAAGCTTTTGTAATTGAAATTATACTGCAGGAATTGCTGTTTTTGTAATGAAAAATCTGTTTCATTGTCTTTCATTTTAAAGGAGAATACAAAACCACATTATATTGCACATTTCTTCTGCCTGTGATGATTTTACAGACCTTATAACCTGGCAGAAATGCATTGAAAATATTTTATCCAAAGAGCTTTGCAACTTGGCATACGTTACTACACCATTAAAATAAAAATAGCTTCATGGGTTGTAATCTATTGGCAATTAATCATTGCACTACGCTCTTTCTTTACCTGTGCATTTGCTTCTTATGAAAACGATTAAAGACACTTGAGACAGTTGAATACCTCTAGGCAGTACTGAACTATTATGCTAAGCTGCAATATGTATCCTTAAGTGAGCCTGTCAGAAGAAACTGAAGTCATTTCACTACTATAATAGTCACCTATAGGGCAAATTGCAGTTTTGCAGTACCTAGTTTAACCTTTTGGGCTTCATTTTACAAATGTTTTATTATAATTATTACTGCTGATTAGTGTGAATGGGGTTGATTTTTAAACCTTTATTCCAGGCAGTCTGTCCCCTCTGTCCCTGCCCCATTCTGTTTATTTTGGCATTGACTTTGACTGAATTTTAAGACTGGGATATTATTGTAATGTGTGACAAACATCAAAAATATCTATCTTTTGGTTGAACAAGTCATAATACGCCTTCACTGGAGCTAGTGTGCCCAAGTAACATTTTGAACTGGGATGTGACAAGTCTGCAAATGCTACGTCTTCGGTGCACATATCCTCACCTATGGTCAACTCTGAGATTTAGAGAAGTAAATGTAGCTTCTCATAGCAAGAGAAAAGTGACTGAAAGTTCAGAACTGAAGAAGCTTCTTGGATGAGAGGCGGAACATCTTCAAGGAAAAAGCAAAGTCCAGTTGCCTTTGGAAATACCAAGCTCTTTGCAGGAAAAAAAAAAGCTGTCTTAGAATTGTGGAGACACCCACAATCTTTCCCCCAAAAAAGATGTCTCTGCTTTAAGAAGTCACACTTGTGGACTCCCCCACGTGCTGTGAACCAACCTTTTGCCTTTAGATTGAAGCCTTGCACAGTTCTAGTGTTAATGTATTTCTGACATTTGAGTTGCTGATCAAACTGATCTTGACCTTAAATTTGGACAAAGGCTGAGATCCTAAGCATTTTGACAAGCTATGAGTACTTTATGGATTGCAATACATATATATTGCATTAAACTGTAGCACACTTGTCATTTTCCTGTTCTCGCTAATTTAACAATCACTCTTCTTTCAACAGAATTCAGTGTTTACTTACTTTAGCTGAAGGGTAGCCACCAACTCTAGTCAATCTAAATTTAATTTTAGTTTCACCATTCAACAAAAGCAGACTTTGTAGCCTGAAGATTTTTCCTCCCAATAGGAAAGGATCTACAATAAGTGAAATCTACATGTCAGATTCTTGACAACTGACTCACATTTATGACGGTTGCAGTGTCCCTGGGTCATGTGATCACCTTTTACAACCTTCTGACAAACAAAATCAATGGGGAAAGCAGGTTCACTTAACAACCAGGTTACTAATTTAACAACTGCAGTGATTCATGTAACAAATATGGCAAGAAAAGTTGTACAATCGGGCAAAACTCACTTAACAAATTTCTCACTTAGCAACATAAACGTTGGGCTGAGTTGTGATCGTAAGTTGAAGACTACCTGTATTATAGTAAAAGACTGTACAGTAGTCAGTTTTTTCTTTATAACATAACACTACTAGAATTTGATCTGTTTCTTTTGTGCCTTGAAAATCAATCATTAAAAGGAATGTGGGTCAGAGAGTGCAAATGCTGACAGATGCAATTCACTTACAAAGCTTAATTTTATTATTGTGTTCTAAGATTAGAATCGGGTAGCAATAAACTTGCATTTCCATTAGGAAACTATTTGCATATTACACACTTTGTTATACTTTTAAAAATTTCTTCCAAGCAACTTTGTGAAATGACATTGTTAAATAGGAGCTTTGTATTTCCATGTCTGTTTTTCTACGAAAGGATGTCACATAGAGATATGGAAGACAAATGCATTTCAGTAATCCTTTAGAGAGGAAATGTTTTAGAAGAGAAAGTTGCTTATGGAAAAATTGTTGGGAAGAAAAACAATTAAGACTTATTTCTATTTTCTCTCAGCACCTCTACGATATTCTTCTGTCTATCTATCCATCTCACAATTTTGCCTTGAAAAAAAAAATAGCTGTTGGGACTTTATTACATTTCTGTTTGAACATGCATTCTTGCCATATGCTACTTTTAATTATCCTAAACGAGCTAAGAGACTTTAATATTTTGTTATAGAAAAATCAAGGTTAATGAATTAAAATAATTTGCCTGGAAATTTCTTGTGTTTCAGGAGCCAGCTTTATTTACTGGGACTATGAGGAAAAATTTGGATCCTTTCAATGAGTATAGTGATGAAGACCTGTGGACTTCTTTAGAAGAGGTAATTTTCCTGGAAAACAACACTTTCCAATGTATTCTAATATACAGAAGACTTCTGTTCTGTTAAATTGTTCTTTGTTCTAACATCATGGTAAGTTAAAATGACCTGAGCCAAGAGTGTTGTTACCATGAGCAGGAAATCTGATGTCCTTCAAATTTTGGGGCTTACAAATGCCCTGTCCCTCATTAATGAGCATATTAACTGCTGCTGATGGAAGAGTTCAGCATATTCAATGGGCATCTGGCAATGTAGCCCAAATTAAACTCATCACATAATCTATGTCCATAGTTTGTTAACTCATTTCAGTCAGTGAGTTCTGGCGTGCTCGCCCTCTCAACGTCATAAGTCCATAATAAACTATGAACTGCTTGTTTTGAAGCACTTTTTAAAGATAAGGTGGTATGAATATTTTGAAATTAGATGTGAAGCACTTTAATGGTCTCTTAGTAAATTTTTAGTTGGAATTACTGTTATGAATTGCTTATAGGTCCAACTGAAAGAAGCAATAGAAGAACTACCTGACAAACTGGAAACACAATTGGCAGAATCTGGATCTAATTTTAGTGTTGGCCAGAGACAACTGGTGTGCCTGGCCAGGGCTATTCTGAAGAAGAATAAAATACTGATTATCGATGAAGCAACTGCAAATGTTGACCCAAGGTAAACAGGAAGTACAATTTATCTCTGGTATTATTATAATATTGATCCATTATAGTTGTATGTCATTATAATTTACACAGGGTCTCAGATGAAAAATACCTACTGTAATAGCAAAAATCCATCCTAAAAGCAACAGTATCAATAATTATAAAAATAATAAGTAGATAATTACAGATGAACACAAATGCAAAAACTGATTACTTTTAGGGAAACCTAAATGTTCATTTTGGCAAAATACCACATTCATTATCAATGGGCCTTCTCTAGACCTTACTTTAATGCTCTTTCCTGTCTGTCTGTCTGTCTGTCTCTATCTATCCATCCATCCATCTATCTATTTACCTATCTACCTATTTCTATAGCCGCACATCTCAGCAAATGACTCTGGGTGGCTTACATTTCAATATTAGATTAATGAAATTGCATAAAAATTATATTTCTAAAACAGATGGTTCGTAACTTAAAACCAGTCACTTAGTGACTATTCATTGAGGGAGAACGGGCTCAAAAAAGGTACTTACAACCCAGATTCAAAGTTCTGAGGGCCACCTCTCCCTTCCATGCTCACGTGATTGCTTTTGGGGCACTCAGCAATTGGCTTGCATTTATGGTCATTTGCAGGTTACCATAGTCACATGATTGCAATTTATGACTTTTTCCATCAAAAAATGATGTTTACTTCTGGTTTCTACTAAAGAGGCCCATTATGAAAAATAGATTCACTTAACCACCATGGCATTTGCTTAATAACTACAGTTTTGCTTAACAACAACCACAAAAAATGTCATAAAATCGGGTTGGCCATATGATGACCCACTTAACCGGCACAATTTATGAGCATAATTCTGAGCTCAGTTATGGATGCAAGTCAAGGATTACTGTACTATATTAAGAACTGAATACATTGATAATTGTTTAGGGAACAAGAAGGTAAAATTCCATTCTCTATCATTTAATTTGATTTTTTAAATGAATAAAACATAAGGGGTCCTTGGTACTTTCTGAGCTTGCTTGTTTTCTTGCAGACGTTTCATTACCCTAACTATGAATAAAATGTATTTAAATGTAATTATTTAAAAGAAATAATTAATTAAAATGTTTTTTAAAAATAGGATGCCTTTTCTATGTATGATATTTTATTTTTGTGACATCCATATTAAATTTTAGTTAATCTTATTCAGTGATTTAAAGAAATATAGATTGGTCATTCAATGAACCATAGTTAAAAGTTGGGTCTCCAGTAAATTACAGTTAAAATTCTGTAAAATTCTAGAAAAATTCTAGTTCTCCATAGATTAAAGAAGTTAACAAATAAAGCTTATTTTCCTTTAGAGGAAATTTAGTTGAGAATTCTATTTAACTAAGACCATTGGAAGTCTTTTTATTGTCATTGGTACTTATGATTAATTTTTAACATCATCTCAACATTCAGAAACTTGCTTCAAGATATTGCTGTTGTTATTTTATATAAAGCACTAACTTTATATTATTTAAAGCTTATCTATGGAAAGAAAATTCAACTGAAATATTCATCACTAATAATGGCTGTGCTAGAAGGAAAAGACACTTATTCCTAGAGCTGGCTCAATTTCTAGATATCCACTTAATAGTGAATATAAAATATATAAAAGACTAGTGTAGATTCTTAATGACAATTGTAGCAACTCTTTATGATAGTAACTCTCCATGAAATTTGCCTTATCTCTGATATAATTGGGGACATATTAAAGCCATCTTAGTGGACACTGAGTTTCATTTAAAGGTCAAACACACCACAGAGAAAGAAGGAAGAGAAGCATTGCATTGAGAAATGAATTATTTGAGAGACTGTACAGGTTGCAGTAGCTACCCTTATGATAAGCAATGATGCTTTTGGGGTGTTTGGAGCAAGAATTCTTACATTGGGTTAATGAAATTTGAAGTCAAAAGATCGGGTAGATCTGATCTAAACTATCTTTCCACCAAATTAACTTTTCGTGCAATCAGTATTATTCATTAAAAGAACTGAGGCTTTCCATAGTAAGATAAAAATCCTACACAAATTTTCTAACAAACATTACTGTATGTGTAAATGTGTTAGCAAGTAGCATTTGATCTGAACGCTACAGAATTTGATTATGTGCACTGGAAAGTCAGTGACATGCATTTTGCATATCATTTTTAGATTCAGTCAAGGAAATGTGGGGTTCTGTCAAACACAACCCTCATTTTTTTCCTCCTTCTCACTTAGAAAATGACTGCCTGCAAAGGGCTCTAACATGCTGTGTTGTAGTGTAATGTAACACTTCGATGTGTCCAAAAGGCAAACATGCACTTTGCTGCTACAGTTTACTAAAACATGTTGACATAGAGCTATGCCAAAGAATATAGAAAAACAAAGTGCCCAGAAGCAGAAACTGTTTTGCTTGTTGCATAATCTCTTCACATTACTTGTGTTATTTATTTCAGAACAGATGAGCTGATTCAAAAGACAATCCGTGAAAAGTTTGCCCAGTGTACTGTTTTGACAATTGCACACAGACTGAACACCATCATCGACAGTGACAGGATTATGGTGAGCATTAAGGGAAAAGTCTGATCCCAGGGTAGCTGAAATGGCAAAATTTTTATGAGACACAGCTGCTAATTTCCTTTCACTGAGAACTTTGGTCAAAGACCCTTATAAGTATAATATGTGTTGTCGGACACAAATTGTGCATTTCCAGTTATGCACATGTGTATTAATGCATGTGATATAAATCACCTTTATTAATTAAGAAGGAAAACTTAAGTTATGCTAGAATTATTTTTCCTTGACACAGGTAGTCAATCAGAGACTGAAGAAAAAGTTATCCGAACAAATGGACAACTAAGTCAAATATCTTTCCCAATTTCATCTCCTCTAGGTTGAACTTCAACCTAATATGCAGGCTGGCAATCCAGGGCATGGAAATCCAGGGCATCTGAATATTAAGTTGGAGAAGGGTGTTTTGCTATGTCTGTTTTGCAATTGAGGAAAAGAGTATCGAAAGTCTTGCTGAATGCAAATCCTTCTATCCAGAACCAATTGCCATAAAGCAAACCTGGAAGCTTGCGGCCACTAGTAGCCATGGAACCCTTTCTTTCCTGCTTTACCTAATTATCAAAATTCCACAGCATGGTTTCTTACCATTTTGAGGTAGAAAAAAACATAAACATTGCAGTATATACTATAAAATAGATTTGGCATGGAGACAAAAACAAAAATCCCAAGTTTGTCCCTGCCTATTTATGAATAATGGTTTGGCCCACCATGGCCCTTGCCGTCCCTTCAAAGTTGGGAACCAGGAAGAAAGTACCCACACCTGTTCTAAATATGCCATTGGAACAAGAGAGTTAATGTTACAATTTTAAGTGCTGCTTAAACTAAACAATATCTTTTGTTGTTGTTGTTAATTGCGAAGTCGTGTCCGACCCATCGCGACCCCATGGACAACGTTCCTCCAGGTCTTCCTGTCCTCTACCATCTTTTGGAGTCCATTTAAATTCACACCTACTGCTTCAGTGACTCCATCCAGCCATCTCATTCTCTGTCGTCCCATTCTTCTATTGCCCTCAATCTTTCCCAGCATTAGGCTCTTCTCCAGTGAACCCTTCCTTCTCATTAGATGGCCAAAGTACTTGAGTTTCAACTTCAGGATCTGGCCTTCTAAAGAGCAGTCGGGGTTGATCTCTTCTAGGACTGACCGGTTTGAATGCCTTGCAGTCCAAGGGACTCGCAGGAGTCTTCTCCAGCACCATAGTTCAAAGGCCTCAATTCTTTTGCGCTCAGCCTTTCTTATGGTCCAATTTTCACAGCCATACATTGCAACTGGGAAAACCATGGCCTGGACTATATGCATTTTTGTTGGCAGGGTGATGTCTCTGCTTTTTAGAATGCTGTCTAGATTTGCCATAGCTTTCCTCCCCAGGAGCAAGCGTCTTTTAATTTCTTGGCTGCAGTCCCCATCTGAGGTGATCTTTGATCCCAGAAAAATAAAATCTGTCACTACCTCCATTTCTTCCCCATCTATTTGCCAGGAATTGAGAGGGCCGGATGCCATGATTTTGGTTTTCTTAATGTTGAGTTTCAAGCCAACTTTTGCACTCTCCTTCTTCACCCGCATCAAGAGGCTCTTTAGTTCCTCTTCACTTTCTGCCATTAGAGTGGTATCATCTGCATACCTTAGGTTGTTGATATTTCTCCCGGCAATCTTAATTCCAACTTTTGATTCATCTAGCCCTGCCTTTCTCATGATGTGCTCTGCATATAAGTTAAATAGGCAGGCGACAGTATACAGCCTTGCCGGACTCCTTTTCCAATTTTGAACCAATCAGTGGTTCCGTGTCCAGTTCTCACTGTTGCTTCTTGACCCGCATATAGGTTTCTCAAGAGACAAATGAGATGGTCTTGTACTCCCATCTCTTTAAGAACTTGCCACAATTTGTTGTGATCCACACAATCAAAGGCTTTTGCATAGTCAATGAAGCAGAAGTAGATGTTTTTCTGTAACTCCCTAGCTTTCTCCATGATCCAGCGTATGTTGGCAATTTGATCTCTAGTTCCTCTGCCTCTTCGAAATCCTGCCTGTACTTCTGGTAGTTCTCGATCCACATACTGCTGGAGTCTAGCTTGTAGGATTTTAAGCATAACTTTACTAGCATGTGAAATGAGTGCAATGGGTGCGATAGTTTGAACATTCTTTGGCATTGCCTTTCTTTGGAATTGGAATGTAAACTGACCTTTTCCAATCCTGTGGCCACTGTTGAGTTTTCCAAATTTGCTGGCAAATTGAGTGTAGCACTTTTACTGCATCGTCTTTTAAGATTTTTAATAGCTCAGCTGGAATATTGTCACCTCCATTAGCTTTGTTGTTGCTCAGATTTTCTAAGGCCCATTTCACTTCACATTCTAGGATGTCTGGTTTGAGGTCAGTGACCATCTCATTGTGATTATCTGGGACGTTAAGCTCATTCTTGTATAGTTCTTCTGTGTAGTTTTGCCATCTCTTCTTAATCTCTTCTGCCTCTGTTAGGTCTCTGCCATTTTGGTCCTTTATCATGCCCATCTTTGCATGAAACGAAACAATATCTTAGTAAGTTGTAATTTGTCACTTCTTCAACCTGTTTTCTCCACAGCTACATAACTAATGGGACACAGGCAATGGAATGTAGGTTTGTAAGATGTCTGTTCATTAAAAATCAGACCTTGCATAAAATATCATAAGCACATACAGGGTAAATCTGGGCTTTGGTTGCATTTGTGACATTTTGGCAAAATTGTACCAGAAGACTAGATGACTTGCAAGGTCCCTTCCAACTCTGTTATTCTGAGACTGATTTTGTGAAATGGAGTTGAGGAATACTTGTAGGGAAGATGAGGTATAGGTTTAATCTTCAAAATGTATGTTAGAAAATGTGAATGAGTGTAATGTACTGTAGGTTCTTATAAGTATGTATGAAAATTGGAATCCTTAAGATAGTGACATGTTATACTCCTATGAATTAGATTGTATACTGTACATGGAAAAATTAGGAAGGAGTCTGGGTAGAAATTGTGCTATATTCACTCCAGAAGGAAAAAAAAATCTTTGATTAGACAATGTGAATTCTGGAAAAGTAGAAAAAGTTAATAAACCATTTTGGGGACCCAAAAGTGAATTAGAATGATGACTGGTGAGTAGCTGCTTAGAAAATGTTTGTTTTGAACATTAACGTCTACTAGTTTTAATGTTTATAAGCCACCCAGAGTTATTTTGGAAGATGACATGAAATCAGTGTCAGTTTTGTGATTAAAAGTTAAGAGAATTAATGAAGGGTGCAAAGGATGAGAAGTTATGAACATAGGACAGACCATTTTTGTAACATCCAGAAAGGATCTTGAGAAAAAAAATGGACACAGAAAAAGAAGAAAAGAAGTAATGAAACTAGAGGAAAAGAAGAATGTCTGCAAAAAATGAGTCCTGCATGAAAAAGTATTAGAAGGTTGACTAATCTCACAACAGAATGAAATGAAAGCAGATATAAGGAAAAAGGATAATGCAACTACTTGGAACAGCATGAAAAGAATTGATGTTATGGGATGCCATAGAAGCTGTGGGGAGATATGGAGAAGGATGTTTAGTGGAATGAAGAAGAGGAAGAGCTGAAAGAAGAATGCCAATCAGACATGAAACAAGAGAAGGAAGATTGGCTTTTAGGCCAAAAAAATAAAAAGACACAGAGTACAATCATGAAGGGCATTTATGTACACTAATTTAGTTACAGGTGTTTTTTTTTATTCTTACCTCATGTCTTAATTTTTTTGGCTTACTCATCGATAATCTATAGTGCTGCTTATCAGCAACTTTAGGAAGTTTGCAACAATTAAACCCCAAAGCAAAGGAGAACCCCAGTTAAAGTCCTCTAGAAGAGTTCTCTTTGAATAGGCTTCTTACTTCCAGTTGAAAGCCTGGTCTGCTGTAGTTGCTTATTCCCAAACCTTATCCAAAATATTGGTTTTTATCTCCCAAATTTGATCCTGAAGATTCTCTAGTCAAATGAGAATCCATATACAAACTCTCCAGCCCAACTTGCTTATTTATAGAGGTGTTCTAACAAGCTTTGGGATAGCTAAGAAATTAACCTTTTATGTTCTATTTTGACACCTTTAATTTAAAAGGTTACAAAAGATGGGGGAACGCCATGCCTGACATCCCATAGAGCCACAATTAGTCATTGTGAATGATATTGTGCTATAATGGAGCACAATGCTATCTAGTATATAATAATTTGGTAATAAATTGGTTTGAAGGAACCTTGTTGGCTTGACTGCAGAATGTCTAATTTGAGGGTCACAATTATACCTTTATTAGCCTCCTTCATCCAGGCGACCTCTTAACTCTACATTGTTTTGGTTTTTTTTCTCCTTTAATTACCTTATTTGTCTCGAGCACCATTTGGCAGTGCAGATTCTTCACCCTTTTTGGGTCAGTGGGTCAATTTGAACTTAGAAAATCCATGATATGATCACTCAAGGGAATTGTTTATGATGGTGGGAAATACTTTGACCATTTACAAAATGGCTACTGCAGTCTCAAAATGTATGTTATGTTGCCCCTGAAAGTAGTTACTGTCAGGTCCAGCTTTTGTCCCTTTTCTAAGGCAAAGAGAGCAATTGGCTGGAGCTGTTCTCCATCTTTATCTTCTTGAAAGAACCATGAAGCTTTTGTGGCATCCAAGTATTGGAAATGAAGATGATTTTGAAGACTGATGCTTTCAATTTGTTAATATTTAAAAAATTAAACGGGGCAAGAGACGGGACCTGGTAGAGAAGCCCATATGGCCAGGCTATTTAGCATCCTATTGACTTTCAGCTTTTCTTATAGATTTTTTTATCTTAGTGTCTTGAAGATTCTTCTTTTCTCTGTAATGTATAAAGGTGTTACTACAGTAGTTACTACCTATCGCATTTGAGATCAGAGATAGGGGAAACATTTGTTTAGGTTGTGATTTAAACCAAATTTATCCAGATATATACTATATCTTCAATTATTCATGAAATAGAATGAGATTCTA